GCCATTTTTCATAGAGGACAGTCACCAGATCAGCGACAGCTCCTGTTGTCCCGGATACATAACCTTCTTCTCCTGTCCTTCTTTGCATGACCTAAACCTTATGATCGGCGGCAAAACGGCCTCAAATTGCCGAAATAGGTTCACGCATTCCCGGGTTGGAAAAGTTAACTTACCGCAGCTTAAACCCTGGCCCAGCGCGCGTCGCCAGGCACACTTTCTGACAGGAAGTCGCTGGTAGCCGCGTGGAGTGTTGCGTCTACCAAATGCTCTCTACCCGAGCGCATTTAGCGCCGATCACCGCCACGGCGTACTCCATGTCATAGAGTTGTGCGCGCTGCCGATGTTGAGCAAACTCAGTGGCGTTTCGTGCCTTGATGCTTCTACCATTTGTATGAGGTCACAATCGTCAGGAGCGGTAGGGTCTTCAAGCGCTTCGGCTGCCACTGAGGAGAGGGCATTTGCGCCGATAGGTACTGCGTCGTGCTCGGACAGACTGGTACTTTCCAGCCAATGAAACCGGCTATGGGTCTCTATCGCTTAAAAGAGCTGCACTGAGGACCTTGAGGGTGCTGCACTGCTTATCTCGACGTGGGTTTTGGCGTGCTACTGCCGGACTCGCTCCAGTCAACAGTCGCAGGTCCACAGGAGACGGTTTAAGCGTCGGTTCAGCTCGGTCCAGGAGCTCTACGGGAGACAGGCTGTTGGTATTCCCGGAACGGGGGCAGACGGTGCTGAGAAGCGATTAAACGGCGTCCTGATTCATTCGTGCCGTCAGAACGTAGCTGAAATCTTCCGCCTGTTGGATTTCTGCAAAGAGCGCGTGGGTGGAGTGGATTGATAGCAAACACCTTTGCTGTTGACACGGCAGCAGGGGTTTCCTCCGACCGAAACGTATCTAAGGACTAGCTCTTCGGATCTCATCAAAGCTTGCTTCTCGCGGTGGATGCCAAGACCACAGCGAAGGCTTTAGTATCCCATCTGGAAAGCGGTGCTGGAAAACGGTATCTTGGAAAGCGCTATTGCTTGCGGTTTTAAACCTCTTGCCGATCATTGCACCAGGGCGAATTAACTTAGCAGTTAGTCGCATTCTGAAGGACTTAACTGGTACTTCGTACTTGCACTAAGTCGCATTCTGTCAATGTGACTAAGCGCGCAAACCCTGATAAGTCGTCGACAAAATGTCGAACTCCTGCTCGCAAATGTTTAATGTATTTAGGTCAAGGAACTGGACAGAAAGTTTGAAGCATTTTTTCGACTATGAGCGGTGAGCATTACGACAGTACAGTTGCTTGGAAAGGACGAGAACTGCCATGCGACCATGGCCCTCCTTCCATCACTCACACATCACTCCATCGCATCCGTCATCACTGAGATCAATCTGTTTCACACATATTTTGTACCACATAAAGCAACTAGATATTACTACCGTTCGGGTTGGAAACAGCGATAAAGGCCTTCCAAGCATACAATGATGCTTTATGAAATAACACACTCGGTGCGCCTGCTGTTAGTGAATGGTCTTTTGTACTCTATCGTTTCTATTTCTATTATTCACCTATCATTTTTATCTTAATTTTATCATTTTTACATTGGTACTTACCGCAACATTTGTAACAAACATGTATGCAGCCTGTTCACTACTCAATTCTGAGAAAGGTTAAAATCTCCAAGACAAACGTGGGTTGGCCATGCCAATACAAATTTATGATCCCGGTTCTTTCCACAATCCACCTTCACAAAGCTCTGTAAATCCTAGCCGAATTTCGGCCCAGCCCTTAGGTGTTATCGGCTTAGAAAACGTTCGTTGAACCGCTGCAAACTGAAAAGCGCCGGCTGTTTATTCTATGCAGTCACTTAACACCTGGTTCCTCTTGTTTGCTGGCTTTCAAACACCAACGGAACTTTATCTTTCGATGGCTTCTGGTTTCTGTTTCCGTGAAATATAAATATTCAAACACATCGCATACAATAATGCCCCTCAAAAATAGGTAAGCCTTGTCTGGCTGGACAAGGGTTGACGGGGTTCCTGGTAGATTTACTGGCATCCTCAGCAAATCTTTCCGATGGCTTGCTCCATAAGTTCAAGCTCAACCGCACCTCATACGCCTCTCTGACCGTACTGTAGATGTGGTTTCTGTGCGCATGTTTACCTTTGCGAGCAAATAATTGCCTTCCATCATTGTTTTTCTTTCTGCTCCTCCTCTCTCTCTCTCTCTCTCTCTCTCTCTCTCTCTCTCTCTCTCTCTCTCTCTCTCTCTCTCTCTCTCTCTCTCTCTCTCTCTCTCTCTCTCTCTCTCTCTCTCTCCTCTCTCTCTCTCTCTCTCTCTCTCTCTCTCTCTCTCTCTCTCTCTCTCTCTCTCTCTCTCCGAGTCAGTCTCTTTCTGATAATGACCTCAAACCATCTCACCACGTGATCGCGATTCGTCAGGCCCAGGCAGTCAGTCTCTTTCTGAAAATGACCTCAAACCGTCTCACCGCGTTAATGCGATTTACGGACATCAGGCCCTCTCTTGGACTGGCCTCAGACTACCATACCACGTGACCGCATTTCGTGGAGAAACAAACGAGAACAACCAGTAACAGTCAGCTAGAAATAAACGAGAGTCTCACCGGGAGCTGCCAGTCCAGCTTCCGTTGGTGTATTTCGCCATCACCAGCATCGCAGTGGCAGCCGTCTAACACCGTCAGCGCTGCCAGATGCGTCACGATCCGCGATGACAGCGCAGCACTGATCCAAGCGCGACACATCTGCCAGCGAGCTGCGGACCCCACTCTGGCGGCGAGCTGAGGACCCCACTCTGGCGGCGAGCTGCGGACCCCACTCTGCCAGCGAGCTGCGGACCCTACTCTGGTGGCGTGACCAGTCGGACGCACGACGCACTGGCAACGGGATCGCCCCGCGTGGAGACACGCACCGGCTTCACATCGGGCACACGGGCACAGACATCGCGCGCCGGGCAGAAGGCCAGTCCACACGCAAATGCCTATCGCCAGTGGTACCCAGGTGGAATGGATCACAGCGGGCCCCCCACGTTCTTTGGCGGGACATCGGTAGTCCCTCACGCCCTCGGCAGAGAAACCTGACGCACAATATTGCTGAATCTGGACGAAGGGTTATCTATCGTAATACCACTGTACACGTTGTAAATGCGTCCAACACGGCATCAAATGCATAACGCGTGAGATCATATTTGACTACACCACAACGCAGATCATACGGCAATGTTCGCACTTCCGCCACGCCATGGTCCGAGCAATTCCCCAGACTCACTGCTGACCGCCGCGCTCCGTCACAAGCTCGCACTGGAGGGGGAGGGGGATAGACAAGGCCCGGACTAATGCTTAGGGAGCGCGGGCTTGTGTAATTGGGGGGGGGGGGGGGGGAGGTCCTGGACGAAGGGACACATTGTGTGAAATAAGGCTTCCCTACATCACACGATGAAAGCCACCCAGACGTTTAAGAAGCTCGTGAAGCATCAGTGCACACAAAATGAAAAGGGACTTAAACAAAATTTCGCCGAAACAAATTAAGATATCAAAAACACCAGTTTGCTCCAACACATACTGGGGCCTCAACTCTGTCGGTTTCTCAAAACACCAGAGGATCTCAGAAATATCAGGTATCAGGGCGCTCAAAAATACCAGGGCCCAAACAATCTCATAAGGTTACCGAACATCACGGCACACCTGTCATAACTCGCAGCCACAGGGCATGATGGGTCCCATGAATACCGAGGGGAAGGTACAAATACCCATGTGTGAGCAGGGTGTACACGGGTGGTGAGAATGCCGGTGGGTGGGCTGGATGTGCGTGGGTGGTGAACGCTCTGCATCAGGGAGGGGGACTAGTACAAATGCTGATGGGTGAGCCGGGTGTGCATGGGTGGCGAGCAATGTACATCGGGGGAAGCGAAGAAAATTGGGTCTCTTTGAATGTCATGGGGTCAAATAATACTTAGCAGAACAAGAGCATATTAAAGCCTTAGGCTGACAAGCGTTCTTTCTTTAACCAGGAATGCGGAGGATGCAATCCTAGAATATTAAGCACCCAAGGGTCTCGAAATGCTAACCTACCTGATCTTAGAGAAGCCCGAACCATTTGTTAAGTCAGAGGCGAAGGTGCCCAAAGGACGCTGGTAGGTGTGAACATGCCCAACAACAAGAAAACATTCAAAGACCCATTTGGAAAGAACTACTGGGATCCGAGACAGTCAACAGGGACCCTACAAAGACGGATGACCTCCAAGACTACCAACGGATGCACAACTGAACGGCCCCATACAACCAAGACTCCTTACCAGGTCAGGCACAGGCTTTAACAGTCAGGACCCCAGCAACAGGTAGATGTGACTCGGGGGTGTGCGGGGCGTTGAAACGGCCGTAAACCGCCAGTGCATAGCGCCTCACTTGAATTGATTGTCGAAGAAAGCATTAAGATTGCTGGACAATGCATGCGACCATGGCGGCGTGAGTGTTGGTCAGAATATCTAATAATTATAAGATATATGTCCGAAATGTTGGATCCTGAAATAAACCGGCCCACACTGATTCCTCCTCCGTCGGCTCAACATGAATTCAATGACCACAAAATGCTAACGAGTGAACATAGTCAACATTGGGCATGGAATATCTCCAGCAAAACTTCTCGACCACAAAACATTGCAAGGATCTGTGGCTAATCCTATGTGTGTGCCTGCCCCGATGCTAGACAGCTCATCACGGTACTCGAAAAACAAACACCGACACTCCACTACACACGCCGCGGTTTTCCATCCTCTCCCGCGCTGTTCAACACAGCAGACTTATTAAAGTGAGAAACTCACGCCAGCAACAGGCAACGAGTCAGCTGCTGCTGTCAGCTTATGCTGTGAGCCATCAGTCAGCTGCTGGGGCGCTGCTGGGCTATCAGTCAGCTGCTGGGGCGCCGCTGAGCTATCAGTCAGCTGCTGAGCACCCCACAGCCGGCGGCGGTCAGGCGAATGCTGGAGCGCCCCTACCGGGCCGGAGCCTCCTCTAGCAGCGCGAAGGCCGGAGCGCCCCTACCGCTCCTCTAGCAGCGCGAGGTACGCCTTGGAGCGCAGAAAGCGGCAGAACGTGTCGCTCTCCATCAGCAGGTGGACACGACGCTGGGCTGCGTCGAACAGTGCCGACGTCGGCTGCGACAGGCCGCAGGCTATGGCGGCCCGCGTGGCCGACTCCACGTTGATCTGCCGATAAGGACAGGGAGGTCAAGGGGGGCCAGCCTGAGGCCACACCCATGCCATGACGTCCCAGGGAGCTGGCGGTTCGGGAGCAGCCGGCCGGCGAGGCGACAAACTGACGGTTGACGAGGCGGCGAGCGATCGGTCGGTTGCGTCTTGTAGCTAATTGTTGTGTGGATGAAGGCGTGTCGGTACATAGCACATGCGGCATGGCTGTGCGGTCAACACGAATCACCGGTACTATCCTTGCTGGCATCCTTCTTGTGACCACAGAACGCCAAAGGGAAGGCCACTTGCAGTACGCCACATGAATGGCATGTGAGCGTCGCTGAAAATCTTGAAGCAAGTGCAATTAATGAGCATTTTTTTGCGCGTGCTCAAGTTTTCTCATTACCGCCTTCTGTTTATCATTGAGGCTTAACCTCAAGCAAGTCGTCAATGGTCGGCATCTATTAGTTGGCCTGACGCTTCGGAATCCTTGTATTAATCATTTTCAAAGATAGACACACAACAGACAAACGACGAAGACATGTTAACAGTAAAACATTTAGTATTTATATGCATGATATATATATATATATATATATATATATATATATATATATATATATATGCATCTAAGTATGCTTGCAAAAACATAGTAAAGACATGTTTAAGAATGACCTTGGTGCAACAATTTTTTGTTGCTAGCATGTCGTGTATGTTTCTTTGAAAATGACGCATGTGATGAGTCCAAAAATCACGCCAGCTGATAGATGCCAAACATCACAGGGTTACCTTTTAACCTCGAGGTTAAATGAACAGAAGGAGACACTATCAGGAAACTTCAGGAAGTGCAGAAAAAGCTCAGGGAATGTGCCTAAAGATCTCCAACAAACTACACGTGGGTCCTCTCCAACCATCGCAGACTTCAATGGCTCACTAACGTTGACATCCAAAGCACGCGTTTTCAGCTTTCTCTGTCATGTCCCAGCGGACAACTGCGAGCGCCAACCAATGGACAAGCGGTCACACCATGACGACGCCAAAACGACCCTGGTGTCTCTCACCTGCTTCGGAGCAGTGGAGGCGACATATTCGCTGAAGATTTCCCGAGCCCTGTCAGCCATGTTGGCTTCATCTGTTCTCTTGAATTCCTCAACAGCTAGCCAGAAGTCCAGGTTTTCCTCAGCGAACTCTTGCAGCAGGAACGTCCTGAACAATGACAAGCCCCCTGAAAACAGAAATAATCGGATCGTGATATCGTGGGCCAAGCTGTACCATGAAAACACCCTTAACAGACAGAAGGTATGGTCATTGACGTGGTAGTGGTTTAGAGAATGATGACCTTGGGTTGTCATTGCTCAGTACTACGCAATTGGTACGGTTTTGGCCCACTAATCAGCAAGCTCCGACGTCTGGCGATGGTCCGACGACAAAGCTAATGGGATATAGTTATAAACTGGGCGATGTCCAAAGAGCACTTGACAGCGTTTAATGGACTTCGGGGAGATAAGCAATGAAAACAAAACGACTGTAATCCAGGGCGCAGTATAACATTTTTATTCTTATTAGGATTATTAGGCCCGCTCATTTGTTTCTAGCGCCAAGCGGTCCCTACGTTCCGAACTGCCTCTTCATTGAGACTCTGTGCTCACCGGACAAGTGTACGAACGTACTGATCATTCTAAGTGTGAGGCTGCGACACTAGGTGCGGCGTCGCTGAGTGCGAGACTGCGACACAAGGTGCAGCGTCGCTGAGCGTGAGGCTGCGACACAAGGTGCGGCGTCGCTGAGCGTGAAGCTGCGACACAAGGTGCGGCGTCGCTGAGCGTGAGGCTGCGACACAAGGTGCGACGTCGCTGAGCGTGAGGCTGCGACGCAAGGTTCAGGGTCGCTGAAAAATAGGCGTGCCGGCTGCCATGGCTACGGGCGCGCACAGCTCCGTCTGGCCGTATGCTTGACCGGGCTGTGAGCCTGGCAACGGCGATCCATTGCTCTTTTTCATTGGAGCAGTCTTCCCAGCTCGGTTTCACACTGAGCAGCAGACAAAGTGGGTTCCAGAGATATCCCCCCGGGGAACTAATAAGCCAGCGGACTTCGCCACGAAGAGTGGACGTAAGTTTATGGCCTTGTTTGTCAAACCTCACGTCCCAGTACAGTGCATCATTTTGGTCAACGGACTGGGTTAAAGTCGTTCATTTGCTTCGATCACTCGCGTGGCGCCGTCAGTGTCCAGTGTTCCCGCATCAGGCTTTACTCAGCGTGGGCTCCGGTCCCAGATCCGTCCAAGCAGATCATTGATGCGACCGCATTGGCAAAGCTTACGGTAACTCACGTAAAACCAAGGCTCATCGCCGTCAGCTGATTTTCGGGTCGGTGGCTAGTCGACCCGAGACCGGCGGCTGGCCGACTGCCCGATTTTGTGAACAGCTGATGGTTAGTAACCCATGGGCCCTAATAACAAGTAACTAGTAACTTACTAATGGGTTGTTATTGGTTTTACATTTGGGTGTGGAGTGAACAATGCTCTCCTGTCCTTCAAACATGATCCGAACAATTCGCGTTTATCCTAAGATCGCAAGAACAAAGCCGACTGGCTACGATCTTGTTTATTTTCCAAGGTCTGTAAGGCCTTGGAATACTTCTCAAGGCCTGCCGGACATCGCAGTAGCCACTGGGCTGTTTGAGCGACATTATCCACCCTTTTCACATTTAGAAATCTTGAAAAATTGGCATCAGAAACATAACGCTTATAACATTTCCTTGAGATAAACAGTCATTGCCTTTATTATCAGCTATTGAACTGGTGTTCCAGCAATGTAACACCTTTCCCATTACATCTGTCGAGTTGCCTACAGGACCGAGCCTTATGTTGAGGTCCTTTGAAGACGCGTGATAGTCAACTTAAGAGATAAGGCATAGTGAAAAAACAAAGATGAGTTATGAAATGAGTGCCCTTAAGAATCTGCAGTCGTAGTCGAACGGAGTGGATTTATCCATCCCAAATACTCGATCAGTGCCGTGCGCATACACTTCTGAACAGGTTTCCAGCTTTTCCATGGTCGGCTCAGCTAGCCGGCCAACCGAGAAAAAAGTTTTTCCACAAACAAGCCTAAAAATGAAGTTCGATCTGAGGTCGCCCGCGCGCCTTCTATGCGCACGCCGCCACCGCAGTCAGGGATGACGGCCTGCAGCGCACGGACAGAGGGCGCAGCGGCGCACTTTCCGCTCGGGTGACTCACGTTCGGAGCCGAGCAGCGCCGAGAGGGAGTCGGCCCAGAGACGTGCCGCCTCAGGGCCGCACTGGCCCAAGGCCGGCGCCGCCGAGCCGCGGCGCCACCCCAGAAAGCTGGGAAGCCCCCGCTGCTTGTCCCGCCGGACGCGGCTGAAAGAGACGAGTGGCAGAGTCACCGGGCCGCGCCACCATCGGCCGCGACGCCATCGGCCGCCACGCCATCGGCCGCGGCACCATCGGCCGCGCCACCATCGGCCGCGCCACCATCGGCCGCGACGCCATCGGCCGCGCCACCATCGGCCGCGCCACCAGAGCCGCGACGCCATCGATTTGGACGTGATCAGCAGCCGTCCAACGATGCCGGCTCGGGCACGTGGACACGGACACATGGGCAGCGCACATGTTGCACGTGCAGCTGAACGTGCTATTTTGCGAGACGGAAATATCCTACGAACCGTGGATAACAATGGGTCAGCTTTGAGGATCACTCACTTGTACCAACAAGTCATAGCAGTCGGCGCAAAGTTAGTGCGAACGGGCTTCTCGACCTGCATTAACGAAGGATTTGTCCTGCCCACTCGGATCACTGATTTCCAGTGTGGACGACTTGGAACAATGGAGAATACCCGGGGTTTAAATAAAACACCGCTTGCCCGCACGCTAAGAGGTCACAATCGCTTCCGAAACGCGCCATGATGGCAACCAATATCTATGTAAGCCGAAGCTTAAAGCACCACACCTTGTGAGGACGAGGTCAGAAAGGAATACAAGGTGGCTCCGCAGCAGCTCGCGAGCCGGACACGCCCAAGGCGAGGCATAAAAGAGGCAGGACGGGCCCTGCACGCGCCGCGAGCGATGCGGGACGGGCCTTGCACGCGTCGCGAGCGATGCAGGACGGGCCTTGCACGCGCCGCGAGCGATGCACGGCGGGCCCTGCACGCGCCGCGAGCGATGCAGAACGGGCCTTGCACGCGCCGCGAGCGATGCAGGACGGGCCTTGCACGCGCCGCGAGCGATGCAGCACGGGCCTTGCACGCGTCGCGAGCGATGCAGGACGGGCCTTGCACGCGCCGCGAGCGATGCGGCGTTGCAGTCATTGCCCCATGGCGGGCAGCACGCTGAGCCAAGCCATTACGATAGGGTTGTCCAGCTCCCAAATGGGTGGAAGGCAGACTCCAGCCAGATAATTTGATCATTCCGAAGTGGGAGTGAGCTGCTCGATTGCGCAAACAAATTGCTAGGTTGCAATCGCGCATCGCGCACGAAGATACGAAACGGGGAGTGTCAGGAGATTCGAATTTCGCACCAAGGAAGAGGCACACAGATCGTCCTCCACAATCATTCCACCGGTCGGCAGGCGGTGGCCCTCAATGTGCATGTTCGGGGCTATTATCCCCTCCCCGCTGGTGCATTGGTGGCTGTCCGTTCTCGGGCGCGGCCTTCCCCGCCAAATCGGCGATAATTGTAATATTTTCTTGAGACCAGGACAGGTGAGGGAGCTTGATCCATGCCTTGGTCGGAACTAGAGACGTAACTTTTTCCAAGATGTTATTCTAATGGTCATTTCATTAATCACTGATATCGGCTTGAGGTATGGTTTGTGTGCGAAACAAAAAACTTCAAGTGCAGCCCACTCCCTCACAATAACAGTCAGGCGATGCATGTCGCTGTGTTTGTACAAAGAACCCATCTGATTAATGATCAATGAAATCAGGCCACGCGTGGAAAATGTGGATATTTATTCTTAACTCATTCGGCGATATGCTTACATACCTTGTCACTTTGCGCAACCAGGTTTACTGATGTGCCATGTCTGCCATGGTTTTCCTGTCAAAAAGGACTCTTGCTAGAAAAATAAAAAAATATAATTGTATTGTGTGCAGCAACGCACTCTGATTTTCGTAAGAATTCAAGATTCAAGTACTAGCAAAACATGCGTTGCTTTGCTCGTTAAAACTATGAGCACAGAGGTCCACCAACTCTGACCCACATCCTGACCAAAAGCCCACGAGCTCTGTCCGGGTCAGACTGAGCTGGTTGGCGGGTTAAAACGCTGCGTCTGTGGCCGGACCTAACAGGAGACGAGGGTCGCAACCCATGTGCATGCCAGGGGTGTGCGGGATGATATCAACAGCGGATGGCCATACCTTGAGTACGTGGAGGGATGCGCCGAGTGCATGGGGAGTAAGAAGACTAGTTGAGGAGGAGGACGATGGATTCAGGGTTGACATCCAGCAGGCCTTTCGCCGGCATGATTCAGCGGTTGCGCGGGATCAGAGATAACTTAGGCATGCGTATCAGGGAGTTTAGGGTAAATGAATCCAGTCGAGTGGCTTCGCATGCGCAACGTATGGATAACATGATCCCTTGAACGGCAGAGGTGGGGAGCCCACGGTTACGGGCGCGTTACTGTGCTCGGGGAGTAACGTTGCCTTCCCAGCCCCGCCCACCAGCCCGTCACGCCCTTCATCCCGGCTCTGTGGCTCGCATGTGTATACTGTGTGTTGATATCGGTTGCGCTGGTATCTCCACCTGTAGAATCGTACGCCGTAACATCATCCGGCTCGTAGGGTGAACAATGGGTTCTTCACACCATTATTGTTCTCAGGAGGAAGTATGCGGAGATGCATTCCCAGCGAAGCCAGCGCCGCGCCATAAGAAACGTGGGTGGCAGTCGGCGTTCCCGCAGTCCAACAGCGGAGGATAGACAGCCCAGGCGCGCCCTAAGAAGCGTGGGTGACAGCAGGCGGCCCGCAGTTGAACAGCGGAGGTCGGACAGCCCAAGCGCGCCCTAAGAAGCGTGGGTGACAGCAGGCGGCCCGCATCACCCATGCCGCACCCAGCCCATGGTCGAACAGCGGAGGTCGGACAGCCCAGGCGCGCCCTAAGAAGCATGGGTGACAGCAGGCGGCCCGCAGTCGAACAGCGAAGGTCGGACAGCCCAGGCGCGCCCTAAGAAGCATGGGTGACAGCAGGCGGCCCGCAGTCGAACAGCGGAGATCGGACAGCCCAGGCGCGCCCTAAGAAGCGTGGGCGACAGCAGGCGGCCCGCAGTCGAACAGCGGAGGTCGGACAGCCCAGGCGCGCCCTAGGAAGCATGGGTGGCAGCAGGCGGCCCCGCAGTCCAACAGCGGAGGTCGGACAGCCCAGGACGTCCCAGTGGCCCTTCATAGCCCACATAGAATTCCAATAGCGTGCCCGCTCGTGAGGCGTACGTCCTTCATTAGTGTCGCCTGGTTAGCCGGTTGAATACCTTTCGCTCGGGTGGGGTTTGATTTGACCCGCATAGACCTCAAAAAGTGAGAGAGTGAGATACATAAAATTCACAAGACAGGTTGAACGTCTATCAACTATCTCGTTGCAAAATTTGCGGTTCCTAGGCCATGACATTTGCATCAAATAAGGTCAAACAAGGTAAAAGTCCATGTGGTGTCCAGAGTGCCCCAAACCTGCTTATGCAACCGCCTTGAACCTAAACACCTGTTCTAAAGAAAATGTCACGGGTGCTCATTTAAGGAGCCGGTGGCCTTCTTTGATATATAAGGTCATGTTGACAAAAATCCTATGAGTTTTTCATGCTCGCATTGAAAAAGTCTCAAAAATTACGCTAGGCGGGAGGTTACTGAAAAAAGTTGATAGGAGTAATTTGAGGTCAGTGACCTGCTCTGACATCTTGAAGTCCATGGAAGATGTCTACTGCGGTTCCTAATATCAATAAATTCGAAATGAGCACAAAAACTGCACTCTAAAACGGGGTGCCGGTAGCGTGGTGGTTTACGCGGCTGCGTTAACCACTGCGCGTCTGGGAAACCAGAGGTACGGGGTTCGATTCCCAGCGATGCCTCGCCCTTCCTGTCAGGGTGAGAGGCAGGCGACGCCATATAGCATCAGCAGCTGAGTGCGTCGTAAGGCCCCAATGACATGACACCCTAAAGCAAACTAGCGGGTAAGAAAGCAGGCTGGTTTTGACCTTGGACTGACCCTTGTAACTGTCACTTGCAATGGTAAAATCAATTGTTTTATTGCCTTAGAACCTGTCTCGGAGATTAATTGCCGTATATATATATATATATATATATATATATATATATATATACATACAAACTCATATATGTATACCAAAAGATCCGCTATTCAATTGGCTCCAGTTAGGACAAGTTTGGTGTGGCTACGTCGCGGCATTCGGAAATTATTCTGTAAAAACTTCGGGGGGGGGGGGCGGGGGAGGTAAAGAATCTACTCACTGGAGCACATGTAAACACGTGACACGTACACGTGTCACGTGTTTCCATGGCGCGCGCACGTAATTCACATGGTGAATTACATGCGCGCACCCGCACGTAATTCACCATCCTCCCGTATCAAAAGGCATAGCCTGTCATCTCTGTCAATGCCACCTGTAGCCGAAGCTCCTCTACCTGGGCTGACACGACACCCGTCACTGCTAAGATATTAAACAGGCGCTGGGCGTACTATCGCCAGGCGTAATGACCGCATTATTGTGCGGTAGAAAGTTTCGAGGGTTGGGCATACGCATTGGGCGCCCATATGGATTGCGTTAGTTTGATGAATGGGTTACCTTATGAATGGGTTGTCACATAGGATGAATAGGTTACCATATAAATTGCGTTACTTTTACACATGACGAGCTCCATCCACACTGTTAAACGCAAACAATATTGTATCAGTGGGTTTTCCAAGTGTTGTTGGATATGGTACATTTGAATTCGACTTAGCTTTACGCTTATGAGACAATGTAACAATGATAGTGAAATTGATAAAAGTCATAGGTTTAGTGTGCAACATAAACAGTGTCTTGCTTACTGCAAACCGTAATCGACATGATCAATGGAAATACAATTGCGCGAGCATTGTTTGGATAAGAATAAATAAACATGTGATTCCCTAGCCGATGAAAGCATGGTCGACAACAGCTCGTAAGAGTTGTTCTGCAAAACGCTTTGCAGCATCCCGGACATCCTCTGCTTTTGTTTTGCACGTCACGCACGCTTAGGTAAAGTGAGGAGGGTGCCGCCGCCAGGTTCTGAGATCCTCGAGCCCCGCGGTCCGAGGAGAGCTCAGCGACGCCGGTGCCCTCGCACACAGCGTCCTGCGCGTGCCGCCCCCCAGCCACTCACCTGAAGCAGTGTTTGATGGCTTTGGCCCAGACGTGACGCCAGTGCGAGCTCATCGCCGTCCCTGGCCAACTGCCCAGCGGCCGACGGGCCCGCCAGCGTTGCCGACGAGCACCGCCGGCGCGCGCTTACGAGGGCGGCCGGCGCGCGCGCGCGTCACCGGCGCCGCGAGGCTCGCACAGCCGAGCAGCGCTGTGGTTGCTCTGAGGCCGGCGGGGGAGGCGATGGTGACCGCTCTCGGTGCGCCGCAAAGAACGGTACAAACGCGCAAGTGTTCAGGCGCTAACCATCGGATAAATGCGTAGCAAACTATCCCATAATGTATAAAGGGCCAGTAAGACGTAACTAGTTCCCACCTGCCTATAACGAACGTTAACATGCTCACACTTAATGTTAAAAAGCGGTTTCTATAGAATTGACAAAGGGGCCGAGTATTCGGATATTTAGAAAACGAGTCCATGGGTATCGAGTTCATCAACTTTGCTCATATCTTGTTCATCATATCATTCGCTACACCGTATCTTCCATTGTCTTATCCTCAGATGGTAAATTGATTTCAGACGTACATTGCACACATTGATTATTCTGATAAAATCTGACCATTTATTTACTAAGCCTGGCGAGGGCTTGCATGCCTGCTGCTACCGAGAAGGCCTCGGCCTGTCGCGTCGGTATGCCCGCTGGCTGCCGTCCCCGTCCCGTTAAAGCCATGCGGCAGCTACAGTTATTCTATTTGACAGTCCGCATAAGATCCATGCTCACAAACACTGCTAATGCCTGACGTCAAAATGTCTCCAATGGCGCATACGACGAATGCGTCTTGGATTTTGTCTAAGCAGTTAGAGCACGCCAATTTCAAAAGCGTGAAGATCGAACCCGTCCTAAGTCATGTCTATGCAGTTGGTGTTATGCAGCGCTTGTATGGGATTTTGCAATGGGGGAAGGGGGCATCTGAAGGTTTTCACTGAAAACATGTTGGCGAGTCGTTGGTGCGCGAAGTTTCTTGCATGAGGTAGAACATCATCACGGCTTTCTCTCCCTTTCTGCCATGCCAACTCAAAAATTGAAGTCAACCGACCCACTGGGATTTCGACGAAGCTCTTCCTATAAGCAGTTCTATAGCTGGGGCATTCACTGATAAATGGACAAGAAGCGTCTAATGTCCCCACCCTTCGAATTTTGATTACAGGGGGGGGGGGGGCGTCATGGGAATTGTCATCAGTGCTGAAGCCTCCCATCTCATTTTTAGATCTCTCAATTGCACCGTTTCGGAGTTATGGCTTTCGGCATTTTTGTTGTTGCGTGGTTTCAAGACTAACTTCGGTGGAGATTTTTCCACTTGCTTGAAAGAGAACATGGCAAACCTATGCGTTAAGATGAACAGAAAACTCAAAAATATATGCACTCCATTCTTGAAAGCGCCATTGCATAAAAACAATGAACAGGGCGTTATGAAATTTTCAAATACACGAAGGACAACCTTCTTAAGTTCTATTCATCTTTTTTGAGCTGCATGTGAGAGAACGTAGTTTGATAGTTTATCCACCGACGAATCATGCATAACGCACGAACACTGGGTACGTGGTGCGTCGCGGCGGCCTACTGCCCGCCCCCCCCCCCCCCCCCACGTGGATTGTCGGGGCTGCGGTAATTGGAGCTGGAGGAAATGGGGGGGAGGAGTGCGCTCTGCAAGGGTGGTGTCTGTCGTCTTTGGTTCATGTGGGTTGACTCTGAAGTCAGACAAAGGCCAAGTGATAGGGCACTGACAAAGCCTGAGTGAGTGGAGCGCGTGGGTGCACTGGCAGTGTGTCGTGCGAGAATGAAATGCTCGAACATCTCCGGTTGTGTCGATCCATTTAGGAAGCACAAAACGAGAGCACGGTGGGATTTAAAGACCGCATTAAAAGAACGAGTCAGTCGTGTCTAGGACACGTGGGTAACAGTTACTTCTATGTTGCAACACTTGTGTGTTGCAAATGTCTCAACATATTACTAAAGACCATGAAGGCATTCCTGGCAACAATAACGCGGAACCTCTTGGCGAATCGGAAAGCGAGTATTCCAGTCCTCAGTTCCAGGGAAAAGTAAGCTGAAACAGTTCCGACTACGAATCGGATATAGTTTGGGAGAATGCTCAAGCCGCTTTGGAACGTCTTGCAAAAAAACAACAACAGTGCATCGGAGTAAGTAGCTGCTCTTTTAACGCTGTGTAGTTCATCGTTCAGTTATTCATGTTCATTTTTCGGACACTTCCAATCAGGTCCGCAGCTACCTTCTCCTTCTGCAATAACTTTGAATAGTGGAACATTGTCCGTACGTTTACGTGTAAAGAGGACGGATACTTATGTGGAGTTCTTAGCCCGCACATTTCACAACAAGCGCAAGCACAAGCTTACTTTCATGTATTTTATTATTCTCCAAAATGCCGTTTTCGCAACGCACGTGTTTTGTTTTACCGCAGAAGGTTTAGCTGCGTCACAGAGGAAAACAAAGGAAGCAGAGATGCTGAATAAGGCAACCACGTCACTGACAACATGGCGACATGGTACATCGCTGCCCTAAACTGAAAAAGAGCATGGCATTTTACCAATGACGCTTGTCTTCTCCAATAAGAGAAAACATATCTGGGGAAGAAATTGTAAAGATTGCCTTTTTTACAAATCAGAGGCAGACAGTCGGCTAAGTCCCGGAAAGAAAGACTTGTGCATGTGAGAGATGCAAACGGTGACAAGATGGCAAAGCAAAAACGACTGATTCTAAGCAATCTGCATGAAATTCGCCAGCTGTATAAGGAAGACGAGAGCAACCCACGAATAAGATTTTCCAAGTTCGCCACTCTCCGCACAAAGCATCGCGTCCTCTGATGGGTAGTGTGTGTGTGGGGGGGGGGGGGGGGGTTTGCTCTGCGCTGCTGCCGGGCCGCCGCTGAATGTTTTTGCGTCGTCCGCTGCCGCGTTCGCGAATCCCCACAAGAGCAAATTGAACTGGGGAGCCCATTGGTCAGCACACGAGCCAGATGATGTTAGCGCACGACTCGGTACGTTGTGACCCCGGTACATCAACATCGACACACACTTCTTTGAGCCACAGAGCTAGGATGGAGCGGGTGACCGGGGCATTGGCGAGATGGTGGGTCCGGTCAGGTAACATGAACGGCTGTCTCCCCGTCCATGGCTGTCCGCCGCTAACCACGGTATCACACCTCCATCTTTAAAGCCCATAATAATATTTAAACGGGGAAAAACGGAACCAGATGCATTGACAACACATCTAATTGGCGGGCATCCCACGCCACTAGCTTTCAGGTGTTAAACTTGGAAAGGATACGCCAAATCAGTTTTCTACCGGGCAATATAGCTGCTTCAGCAGACGCCCCACTCATGACCTAAAATACGCGATGCTTTCTTGCTATATGCCGTCAGCTTTATACCAAATGCAATATCTTTGTGGAAAATGTGTGTTCTTGTAGTACAACCATTGCTGCAGGGGATCAAATACTGGGAAAACAACGAAGATCGAAGACTTGGAGTGGCATCCTCTTCCGTAAAGATTACTTGGCCTTTTTGGATCCATTGATATTTGGTGAGCGCCTCTGCCTCCCATGCCTCAGAAGGCGCGGCCCAGCGCTGAAAACGAGCCGGGGCCGAGGGCTCCAGCTCGTCCCTGCGGTGGTCCCTGGATCTCACCGGTGCAGTCAGCTGCTCCCTCCCACAGGCCTCTGCCTCGGCTGGCTGAGGGCTCCAGCTCTTCCCCGTGATGGTCGGGCCGCTCACCTAGATCTCGCCGGTGCATTCAATTGCTCCCTGGATCTCGCATGTGCAGTCATCTGCTCACCTGGATCTCGCCGGTGCAGTCAGCTGCTCACCTGGATCTCGCCGGTGCAGTCAGCTACTCACCTGGATCTCGCCGTTGCAGTCGGCTGCTCCCTCCCACAGGCCACCGACTCGCTCGACCTGCGCTTAGAGAATCCCTGGGAATCGGACAAAATGATGCGATTAATAGACAACATATGCGTTCGTTTTGGGGTATCCGTCAAAAACCTGAAGACAAGCACGGTAACAACAATCAAACAGGCGGTGGAGGAATAATGCCGCATGAACTCAGCCCAAATACATCCATGTTAAGAGCTGATTTTTTAATTGTGATCTCCGGATATGTCGCCATAATTGAGGTACAATGCCAGGACGCATGACACAGTATTGACGCCGGCGAAAAGAAAGACCTCAGTCAGTCAGTTCCTTGCGGACGGAGAGGGGCGAACAACACATGAAATGAGCTCACGGCTGTCCAATTCACGTTTGAATTTTTAGATGGGAACAGCACCTTTCAGCTTGTTGATGAGCAGAAACAGCACGCACAAGGCGGAGGAGCGGACGCTGCCAACTCGGCCTTTCTGCGGATGCTAAACGCAGCAGTTGACGTCCACCTTTCCTATGACGCGGATCCATTTCGGGCGCCAAAAGTGCCCTAGCTTACACCCAATGAAGATCTTCAAGACGGGCAGCTTTGGAGAGACTCGGCTTACATAGAAGGGGATACTCTTTGAACCGTCCTCTCTCGGAGACAGCACATCTCCCACAAACCGTTTCAAGGCCGCCCCGGCAAAGGCACAGAATGAATTCCTATCGTCCTAGACTTCATCTAAGAACATGAGGAAGAACCTAAGAGCACACGCCGTCAGCTCTACCAAGACCCAAGACGCGGATGTCGGACTCGACGAGGGAGCCGCGGATCAATTCAACAGCTGGTTTGCTGGTGTGGGGCTCCGTATAGATGTGGGACTGGCCGTCCAGCCCGGTAGTCACATACCGCCCCGGCAGCCGGCCGTCATCAGTGTCGGGCTCCGTGTGCGTCCTGTCATGCTCCCGAGGCGCTGGGTTTGGCTCTGCGGCGGATGTCTGACCCGTCAGCAGTGGACTGTGACGGTGCATTGGCCCAAATTGTCAGGCGATGTTTTGCTGTGCTAGCTTCTCATGTTATTCGCAGTGCGGACGTGACATTTTTACCGGCGTGGTCCCGACACGGAGAGAAAACGAGCAACAGACATACCTAATCTCAAATCTGGTGACAAAACATGGTCACGCCACTTCAAACCTAGTAGCATTTGGAGCGCGATCGGTAAACTAGCCGAAAAAGTCGTCAGCATACAGCTGTTTGATTACCTCAGCGTCAGCTGTCGCGTGCCGCCCGGCCAGCATACCTACCCACCCACCCAACCTGCTGGCCTGAAAACTCAGCGAAAGACCTGGGTACTCAGTGAAAGGTACGAGCGACCTGGACACTCCTCGGTCGAGGTGGTCAGTGCGATCTCGAACAGCAGAGACCGGGGTCATGTGACGCGCGTGACGTCATGCCACCTCCTATGTCGACCGCGGTGCCCCTCTGGCAAAGCTCTGGTACGGCGAGTCAACACATTGGCCCAAAGACTAGGTCCGAGGTAGGATGCAGTCTGTGAAGGAGAGCCATCTCCTGGAGCCTGTCCACTTTGGAGCCACATGGGGCAGCACCCTCCCCTCGGGCCGATCTTGTTTAATATTGACACGAACGATCTGCCAAGTCACCCCTACCACGAAAGAATGGAACAGCTTGTGAAAAGAGAGAGGCACTTCAAAGAGATCGATTACTTCAGAAACGTAGATAGCCCGCATCACAAGCTAACAAATTCCAGCTGCGGGCTCGCCATTTCAAGGCGACAAATACATCAATGTGTGTAAAAAAGGACCGTCAGTGGCTATTGGCATACAAAGTCACACCCGTATTTTCCACCCTTGAAAGACGTTAACGGGTATCGAAGTGGCATATGGGCGGAGGAGGACAGATGGCTAGCCCTCTACTAACTCATTCATATGATTGGTAGCGGACCGCATTTCACGAAAACCACCTGCTGCACTCAGAGCGGCCGTGTAAAAAGTCCAGAATTCTTGTCTCCGAGCCGTCGATAAGGCTGGCTGATGTTTGATAAAAAATGGCATGTCTAAAAGGTATTGCTGACACTCGCGTTTTTAAGAATGCCAACGATAGATACTTACTGGCCAATTATACAGGGTAAGACGGTGAGCGATCTTCAGCTTAGGCAGGTTCTTAATAGTGGCAGGCAGCGAGCTCAGAGCTCCTGAAGGTCTACTTTTAAAACTCATTAAGAAGCATGCAGTACAGCTTAAGCCTTCATCCGCAATTAGCCTCCACTCGCATTGCTCTGAAGCCGGAGACCCAAGAAAATTAAGCGTCTTGTCAAATGAGCTCGTGTTAACGCTGGCAAAATCGCATTCCCACAGTGATTTTGCCATATGCCATATAACATACAAACAGACATGCTTTTCGAGCACACAACGTTCACATCGAACTGATCACATATGGTGCCCAAATATGCCGCCAAAATCCCTAGCGCGTGATAGACTACGCGGCATTACGGCGGTGGGACACGCAGGTTGGGCCAGCCTTGGGTCGGAGTGCGGCAGCCATAAACGTAAACAACAAAAAAACAACAAACAAAAACAACGAAAAACACTGATGTAATGTATAATGCGCTACCATGATCAGTTATATCCAATGTTTTGCCGCTGCACATCCTTGATGCGACGTCGTTGTTCCGTCGTTGTAAACAAATTGTCACCACCCGTGCGAGTTTGAAATAATTTTATTTTACACGTGATATGAGACTGCCATGCTGTTTTCTGATCATTGTTCACATTTTGTGCTCTAAAGTAGTCGGTCCGTGGAAGAAATGAATTTTGACGTGGCGCAGGAATTGAAATTGGAGACCAGCCTTTCATTGCTGATGTTGATATCTATGTCATGTCATCAAAATGGCACTGCCGTAAAAGTGATAAATTGAGAAATGGCCCGCCAAGTGACATAAGACATGGAGAAGCATGTGGGGCCTATTGACATTGCACTTAGCAAACATCTTCGACATTTTTTTAACTCGTCTTGCACACTTTAACCGCACGGCACCGAGTGCCATGCGGGGGTCAAACTAACGCTTAGAGTGAACCTGGGTGTTAGCACTTCTGTGACTTTAATGCTCGCATCCTGGGACTTGTTTGCTGCACAGACAGGCTAATAACTTGGTTCATACATACGCAAACGCATGGATGTCAATTTTCACAAATGATTGGGGGGGGGGGGCAGATCTGTGGAAGTCGCCATGAGAGGACGGGTAAAAATTTTTTTCCGGGTTTCGTCCACTTTTGTTCTAGTCATCCATGTGATATATATATATATATATATATATATGCACACACGCACACACACACACACACACACATATACATATATATATATATATATATACATAAGGATATTTTGGCACCATATTTTTGTTTATGCACGGACCAATAAAGAGAACGACGTTTTGTCCTTTGAACACCTACCATCCAAATTTTTTGATCTTTCGAACTTGCGTTTCCACGTTGTACATGTTTCCACTTATATCGGAAATGTATGCTACATTTCCTGGGCGATGTGTCCTTTGTAATGAGAAGTATTCTTAACCAAATATTTTCAACACAAATCCAGTTATGCCAAAATGTCAATGGGCCCCTGTAGGCCACCGTGCGACGGACAATTTTCGACTTCACCAATCCATGAAGCTTAGCGGGGGCGCATGCACACAACGATTGCGAGCGTGAGCGATTGCCATCTTAAGGCGTGAACGACTGCATTGTTACTTCTTGGCGTAACAGACGCGGTGAAACGTCAAGTCACGTCTGCACATATCCAGATAGCGCATCAAAGTCATTCAAAAGCTGGTCGCGTGTATAGATAATTCAGTGCTCTCATTTGCATTCAGTTTCAACGGGAGGACAAGCACAGATATTCGTAATATGTGATAGCGCGACGAATTTACATGACTGATTTCAAAATGGGCGTAAGTTGTCTCCCACTCAGCCGATTAGGGAATGCTTAGGATCAGCCCCAGGTGTGATACTTTGGCTGGGATTCCCAACCTGTGCGAAACTGTCTGCTAATATCTTCCCAAGGAGGGTGTTCAGAGCATTCCCCGAGCTGGCCACGGCAGTTACGCACTAAGCAATGTCCATTCCTGATCAAAATTTGCTAACCTTGAGCATGGGACGTCCTAAGCCTTTCAAATGCGCGTTTTGGGCAAGGAAAAATATTGGGAGCAACTGCTATAACTTACTAGCGTGGCATATCATATATTCAGAGGCCTGCCCCTTCATTTGATTCTCCTCAGAACCGAACGGCATGAAACAAATCAAATCACTTTTCATTCTGAGTCAAGGGGCTTTCGCATGATTGAAAACAGGGGCTTAGTCATGTGACCTGATCACGAATCATGAGTCGATGACTCGTGAGCCTGACGATTGTACTGCCGATTCTGATTCCAAATTGATTGGATCACAGGTTCGGCGCACACCCAGGGAACCAGCCAAGACGCTGGCGGTAGCCATGGCGGCTACATACGACGCTGGCGGTAACCATGGCGGCTACATACAGAACGCTGGCGGTAACCATGGCGGCTACATACGAGACGCTGGCGGTAACCATAGCGGATACATACGAGACGCTGGGGTAACCATGGCGGCTACATACGAGACGCTGGCGGTAACCATGGCGGCTACATACGAGACGCTGGCGGTAACCATGGCGGCTACATACGAGACGCTGGCGGTAACCATGGCGGCTACATACGAGACGCTGGCGGTAACCATGGCGGCTACATACGAGACGCTGGCGGTAACCATGGCGGCTACATACGAGACGCTGGCGGTAACCATAGCGGCTGTACGAGACGCTGGCGGTAACCATGGCGGCTACATACGAGACGCTGGCGGTAACCATGGCGGCTACATACGAGACGCTGGCAGTAACCATGGCGGCTACATACGAGACGCTGGCGGTAACCATGGCGGCTACATACGAGACGTTGGCGGTAGCCATGGCGGCTACATACGAGACGCTGGCGGCTACTATGGCGGGTGCGCTGGAGGTACAGAACCGCACAGCTACATGATAGATAACCGTACTACAACTCTTGCGTCATAAACAGCAGAACATCGGCTGAAATACAATCTGGTGCTAGCTGACGACATGTGCGGGGAATGGCAAGCTCTCGAAGCTAACGTGCTGAGCTAACGTGCTAACTGACGTCATGTGCGGGGAACAGCAAGCTCATGAAGCTAACGTGCTAAGCTAACGTGCTAGCTGACGACATGCGGGGGAATACAAGCTCTCGAAGCTAACGTGCAAGCTAACGTGCTGCTAGACATGTGCGGGAATGGCAAGCTCTCGAAGCTAACTTGCTAAGCTAACGCGCTAGCTGACGACATGCGTGGGGGAATGACAAGCTCTCGAAACTGACGTGCTAAGCTAACGTGCTAGCTGACGACATGTGCGGGGGAATGGCAAGCTCTCTAAGCTAACGTGCTAAGCTAACGTGCTAGCTGACGACATGTGAGGGGAATGGCAAGCTCACGAAGCTCTTCACTTGTTGGAAAGGCTCCTTGGTCTGCACAAGGAATTCAGGTACCACCGTATCGCTCGTGTGGCCTGATCGACGATCGTACATAAACGAGTAGAGCAAGGTACCAGGCACTACGTTGCTGTTACTAAGGGTCGTGAAATGAATCTCCGTCACAAGTTTTAGAAACTGCTGAATGAGTATCTAACGAAACTTACGTGGAAATGCGAGAACATCCCGCCCACTGCTTTCTTTGTTGCTTTCGCTAGACTGCGTGTCTTTTGTGTATGAAACGCTGGCATCGACTTTGCTGCGAAGTACAAAGCGGTACGTGTGAACGCTCCGCATGATTATTACCGAATAAATCATTTTCAAGCGATTTCAACACTTGGTGCTGTCCTCGTACTTATGACATTTGCGGATGCATTTCACTTAATGCAGCGTCAAGCGAACTTCGGGAAATCGAGTTGATCGAAAACCGATGCGTGCCGACTCGGTTCTCGGTTGGTCAGCAATACAACTTTTCGGATATCTTTTCGAACATCTTGGTCAGAAAGTTGGCGATAACATTTCATTCATTTTAACAAACAGCATCTTAAAAAAACGCATGAATAAATCTGTAATAAAGCATTAGCATTGACCTGCAGCCGAATACTCTACAACTTGCACATAATGTTTTGAAAGCACTTATGAATGGCATTGCAACATGAATTATCAAGCATAGTATAAGATCAACCATAACTAATTAAACTCAGCACGGTTCATAAGCCAAGCAATAAGCCCCATCATCGTAAACAATGCCGTTAATACGCAATACTTGTTAAATAGCCTTCGCTCGAGTGGGGGTCAGTTTGACCCTCTAAAATCTCCAAAACTAAGAAAGCTACCTGTTTTATTGCTCTAGAGCAATACAGCAGACTGGTCTTGACCTTGGTCTGACCTTCATACCTGACCCTAGGCCAATGGAATTTGCTTATTCAATTGCTGGGCTGCCTAAGAAACTTTTCTAAACATGTATGGCTTGGTCTGACACTCTGTTGTTGCATCAGATTCAACGATCCCCTAAAAATTTTATTCGCCGAATGCATGGCCTGACTGACCTGCCGTACGTCAGCGACCTTACAAGGTACATGTAAACTTTTGATACTAAATGCACATCGCCATCCACACAGGTTGCTCGAAACGTAGTAGAGGACTGCGCCCAGAACCGCCCATCATGGCCGAAATCCAGCGTAGCAGGCAACTTTGAAGCCATATATATGCCTCAGCCATCAGTGAAGGAATTCCGACGAGCTTAGAAGACAAACGGATATCTCAACATGTTTTCAGAACGATCGGTGGTCAAAATTCACGCAAGACGGAAGAATGATCTGGTACGAACTGTAGACCACAAACTGGACGCGTCACAACGTAAACCGGCAAGCAGATATGAGGTAAGCCAATGGTATGCCGCCAAATTCTGAAAAATCTGCAAGTTTGCGACATAACATAATAAAACCCCAATTGTATCAATCCAATCGCACAGGCGTCTTTTTCCACGCGTCGGACGCGTAAACATTGCCCCGGGCTATAATCCGCGCAACTGCCTACTGCATACTATTTGTTGATCTATTTTTAATATATCAATATTTTTGAATGCGTCACATTTTTCGAAAGGTATCGCCGCTACGCTCAGGATTTTTTTTCGTCGTCTATCTCTCGGTTAGTTACGCTGTGAAACTTTTAGAGAAGACAAGCCAAAGGAATTTGAGCTGCATGTTTGGATGTCAAGCAAGCAACTTATGTTCGGCATATTTGTAGACAATTAGCGGTGGCTTATCCATTGCAGCTTTCTTGAATGTCCGAACATGCAAAATAACTTACGAGGACTATTGAACTCGGCACCTTGGGTGTAACTTACATTGCGGTGAGCAAGCCACCCAAGGTCTCTCTTCTTGGTTTGTGCACCCTCGGAAGTAGATAGCTCGTTTGAAATTGCTTGAATATGACAGCACCCCTCACTCCAGAAAACATAATGCTTACCCATTTCTTCCTATACCCCACGCAAGCAGGAGACTCGGCACTACCCATCGCTTATCATAAAGAAAGCAGCGCAGCCTCGACAAGAAGTCAAACAAGCCGTCCATTAAATCACACCATCCTCAGCTCATCCAAGCAAAGCGCCCGCCCCAACCAGGCCCAAAGGCGCCCTCACCTGACAGTGTTGACATTTTGCGGTCGCGCGGGTCAGCAGCCGCAATGCCCACTGACGAGTGGGGCCGCAAGCCAGGCTCCCACGCCGCCCCGGGGTCCCCGGTCCAGTCTGTCAGGCCCAGACGACCCGCCTCGCTGCCGCCGCAGCCCTCCATGTAGGCGCGCATCTGTTCGGCAGTCCAGGTGACGTCATCGCGCCGGGGCCGGACTGACGTCACTCGGTGGCCGGCGCCTGCCGAGACGTGGCCAGGCCCCGAGGCCGGCCCTGACCCCGAGGCCGGGCCTGATGCTGCGGACCGACCGTCGAGCTGCGACGGATCACCGGCAGGCGGTGGTGACGACGCGACACCGGTCGTTGTCGCGGCCGGCGGCTTCGGCGCCTGCCGTTTCCGCCGCGGGCCGCAATCCAGGTCGGCGACCTTCCCCGCTGGCCCGGTGGTTGGGGCAGACTCCGCTGCCAGTCCGGAGCACGTGACGGAGTCGCCGGCCGGGTAGCTGGGCAGGCAGGACTCCGGGGTGGGGCTGCGCGGCGGCGCGCGCTCCAGTCGCCCCTCGGGCGTCGGCCGCGCCAGCCATTCAGCCAGAGAGTTACGGCCGCCCTCCAGCTGCTCCAGCCGGAAGGCTGTGCTTGCCTCCTCGTCGCTGGCGTCGTCGCCGGACGAGCTCGGGCTGTGCGGCAGCGGGCCGATGTAGAGGTCCCCCGGCGACGCCACCTGCCGACACGGCCGCACCAGTGCTGGCACACCGGCGCCGCTCGCCCCAGCTGGGGGGAGGACACAGCATGGCGAGGGATACAGAGTGGGATTGGTGCGGAATAGCTGGGCTTAGCCCTGTAAAGTTAGCGAACGCTGTGCAAATCTGAGGGTGTTGTACGAAAACACGACCACAGCACTCGGAAGTCCCACAATTTAATGCGGTTTCTGTCGCCGCACAAACGCTTGCTGGTTGGCAGTATTAATTTGTTTTGCTACCAGCCATCCACGCATACCAGATAGTGACAAGTATGTGTCGCATTCTCCTCACCAATGTTGGCGTCAGAGCGCGTGTCACGGTGTTCTCTAGTAGTCGCTGATGTTTTGGTTCGAGGGCATTTAAATTGGATAGGTAACTACAGTAGACCATACCCCAATTTTGGACTTACGCCTCAAGTAATAATTTCGCCGAGACCGCAAAAGAATCTGTTCACTTGGTCTGACTTAAGACGATGCTGATGCATGGCCTGAAGTCACAGCAGAGCTCCGTTTTATAGCCGTGTGTCGGATGTGATTGCTATCACCGTTCCATAGCCGTGTGTCGGATATGAAAAGTTTCAGTTACACGCGCGCAGATACGTCCGGTCGGCAGACACAAGTCGCTGCTGGTACGGTGATAGCAATCACATCCGACACACGGCTATAAAACGGTGATAGCAATCACATCCGACACGCGGCTATAAAACTGCTATGACTTCTGCTATGACTTCAGGCCATGCATCAGCATCGTCTTAAGTCACTGCTGGCCGCCAGCAGGCTGGCAAGCGGGCCTACTCCGTGTCGTTGTCATTGGGGATTAACGACGTGCTCAGCTGCTGAAGCCATATGGCGTCGCTTGCCTCTCACCGCTCCCTCGCCTCTCACCGGCAGGGAGAGCGGACACGCAGGGGATCGAACCTTCCTCTGGCTTCCCTGACGTGCAGCTTAGCCACTACATTTTCGGCACTCTCCGGCCACGCATCGCCTGTTTTACGCTACAGACTCAGGGAAATCACAGCACGGTTGGTGCCATTGTAGCAAATAGATTGGTGGCAACGTCAAATTTTGGGTGGATTTTGGCCATACAGAATTTAAAAAAATGTTCTATCTATAAAGGTTTTAAAGCAAGCGTCAGATATGATGAAATAAGCTGACTTAAAACTATTGGTATACGTTATGTGACTGGTCTAGACAAGACAGTTGCTCTATTTAGCACCTAAACTCCTCAACACGCCATTGCTTGATTGCGTCATCCTACCTGGCACAACATTGATTGAGAGCCAATGGGCGGCCGTGATATATGAAAATCGTGCTCACGAACGCCAGATTTGAACGCTTCGACAATTATATTTTGGCTTAAATCGCCGTATGGCCTATGGAATCACAATATTTGAATGACATTATTATGACTTCATGGATGCCTGGATGACCTTCAAATAGTCTGCACGAAAACGTCTGCACATCTTCGCGGGCGTGTAGCTCAGAGGCTAGATGGATTTAGGTCTTAAGAAGAGCAGGACTGTGAACTGCGCCGAATGCTCAAGTTGCCTATTTCAGCTCAAAACCCCATACAGATGTATAGCAACCCCTTTAAGCCTTAGGCCCGCGTCACTTTCACTGCTTCATCTTGACCGGCTTTGGCGCCAACGCGCTGCATTCAAGGCCAGTCTTGAAAACGCGATGAATTGACTCTCACGCTCAATAGCTGATGTCGCTGTACAGGAACATCCCATTCTCAATGGTGACCCTAAAAACTACGACGGCAGGTTACATTACATTTACTATACATAACTGCATGAGAAGGGAAGCCATGACTTAAGCAGCACATAACACACGCGCTATGTTAATTTATAAGTATCTTTTGTCGATTTCGTTGCACAAAACACACCAAAAGGGTAATGCAAAAATAATTTGGAACAGCTATAGAAACTTAAGCTCTCTCTTTGAGAACATGTCCCCCGTCTAGCCTCGGCGGTGTCCACCCGGTGTACATGTTGCAATCTGCGATCTGGAGCGGGCATTTTATTCGTGGGTCAATGTCCGTTAAACTATTCACTTGTAGCATCTTACCGCTGAAGGTCTTGCGCCCTCAGACGTTTGTTTTTTGTGGAAAGGTCTGAGAATGGAGAACTCCTGCATTTTCCGCGATGCTTTACCTCCACCTGAAATTGAAAAAGAGTGAGTCATCCTCAAAAAGAGACTAGCGCCGCTCAGCATCTTTCTTTGAATGGGCGTTAGCAGTCGGTTAATAAGCTCGGTTCCACATTATCATTACACACGTTCACCGACTAACTGTAATTCAGGCCCACGCTAGAAACTATGGACGGATTGCAACATTATGCTGGCGCGTAATAGCAGAGTGTTTAGCACCTTCGCAACCCCCCCCCCCCCCCCATGCGGAGGACCCGAGTTTTAACCTCGGTTGCGCCGAGGTCCCTGAGCGTTGGTATGGTCTCTGCGATCCATGGTACTCAGCAAGGGAGGAGCGACGTCGCATGTCGCGTTATCTCCTAAAAAAATATGCAAGATAATGCTTTTCGAGTACTTTCATCCTCTGTGCAAATTTGCGCTCCATCGCTACCGGGATTGTAATTTCTACAGACACAGCCATGGGGGGACTCACCTGCCGCCTAAACACTACCACACCGGCGCAGCTTTGACATTATTAACGTTCCGAGCCCATACCATCGGTACAGCCATGTCACGAAATTATCCGTTTTTAACCAAGCGACCTTCCATGTACGCAGATGGAAACGCCGTTCAGCTGAACACTTCTTCGCAAAGGCAAATCCTGGTGAGGGGGGGGGGGGCACTGGGGGTGCGTGCCCCCTCCCCGATCCAAAAGAGAAAGGCCGCTCTTGATGCCGCTCTCGGACGCCGAAGACGCCCTTCTATGGCAGCGCTTCCAAAGGGGTGCCCGGCAAGGGCCGGAACGGGACAAGGTGTTTGAAGGGAATGTTCCGACTTTGGGCAAACTTAAAAAACATTTTCTAGTGATACCTCAGGACCAGTTAAGTCCTAGGTAGTACCGCTGCGACACCGTCAAAACCCTATAAGGATATCAATTTTAATTATTTTCGAGTCCAAATTACGCTTTCAACGCTGTGTAACAACACTACGATTCTTCTCTTTAGTCGCGACCACCGTCGTCATGACAACCGTCGTGCGCACCTATACTGATGCGTAGTACAGAACGTTTATGATTGACCCAACGGGTGGCAAGGGCCTGCTACCGAGAAGCACACAGGTTGAAGTCTGAATCAGTACGCCACTATGAAACATGTAATGCCCCCATTCCCAAAGCCGAAGAGCGCCTAGAAAAGAGCCACTGTGGTGAACGCCATACGGGAGAAATCAAGGCCAAAGTTCAATGCTTCGCTAAATTCGTCGGAGGATGGGTTCACGTTCGTGAATATTTAAGTCCAAACAGAGTGTTTGAAACTTTCGAAACACTTATTACACATACACTTTGACACACTAGTGTGTTCCAAACATTGCCGAACACACGCACACACGTTGGAAAAACAACGCAAATAAAATATATTATTTTTATAGTGGTGAGCAGGGAGTCATATGTTATTTCTCCCACCGAAGCGGCTCCCCATATTGAAATTCAGTGCTATTCAGAATTTCGAGAAAACTAGTATTACTGATTATTACTTGAGTATTACTCAAAGGGCGCCGTTGACGTCCAAAATATGTCCCAGGATCAGGTTTAAGAAGCTATTAAAATACAAAAGGGTGTTCCATACCCTGGCGGGGCACCCCGAGATCCAAAAGGGCGTTCCTTTGGTTTGAAATTATGTCTCGGAATCAAACAGAATGTTTTAAAGAACAAAAGGGCGCTCCAAGCCGTGGAAGGATAACCCAAGTCCTGGAAGGGCGTCCCTGAGAACCCAAAAAGTTTCCCTGTAGTCTAAAAATATGCTTCGACGTCTAAAATGATGCACTAAAAAGTGTGGGGACCCAAAATCTGAAGAGGAGCTTTGCTAACCAATAGGGCGCCATGACTCATGAAAGTAAGTCTCAAGGGTAAAAAGCGCCTTTAAGAACAGAAGGGCGTGCAAATCTCCAGAGGGTCACTTCTCAGAGCTCCAGCAGCGTTCCTGGGATTTTACAATGGGTCTTGATGTCTTAAAGGACTCTTAAAAATACAACAACTCAAAACAAAAGGACATTCAATTTTGAGGAGCGGTTCCAAAGACTCAATAGGCGCGCATAGGGTCTGAAAAATGTTCCCAGGGCTTAAAAGGGCGGACAAAACTCGGATGACTTTTCCCTATATCTGAAAATGGCCCATTTGGCCAGGATATCCTAAACATAAAATGGCGCATCTAATTCTGGAGAGGTGCCCCGGGTTACTAAGAGGGCGTCTTTGTGGCTTGAAAACCTTGCGAGGGTGATCACAGGTCCTGTAGAAAAACAGTGAACCCAAGGGCTCCGTGAGGATCCGGGATGACCTTGGTGTTTTGAGTGGGCGCCATGGTGTTTGAAGAATACACACGCGCTGCCTTCAGGACATTCAAGTCTCAAGACATGCAAAACACAAGACACACGAGTTTAGGGGCAAGATATTGCGGCTTAAAAGACGTCCGTGAGGAACAAGGAAACCTGTAGCGCCGAGTATGACAAAGGAAATCGAATGTGCGGGAGGATGGGACTCGGTCAGTGCGCTGCCTGCACCTCAACACCGTCGCGAGCCACGCTCAGGCAACGCTTTGCTCCCGCGTGTCCCAGTTCGCACCCCGGTAGTTTAGTGATAGAGATTCCGCCCCACCACCGCGGTGTCACGTGCCTTGGAGATAAAGTGACACCTCAGGCATAGCTTAATGACAGAAAGTGCCCGGCGACCTGCTAGCTCAGCCGCTGGCGGACGCTGAGCCAAGAGACTGCCTGCTCCGCCGATGGACACCGAGTCACCCAAAACTGCCATTTTTAAATCACGGAAGACAAAGGCGGCACCTCCGTGAGCAGTATCAGCGAGAACTGGCTGGCTAGCTGTTAGTACGGTGCCAGACTTTGAAGGCGCGTGGTATGTGACCTGCACAAGGTTCAACAACAGTGACTGCGTTGGCGGTGGCCGTGCAGACCGTGCAACAGGATGTGGTAATTCCAACCATAGTGTGGGATCGCTGGTCAAGGCCTCTGATATGGTTCTGACGCTTGATTGTCAAGGATGGCTACGTCCCAACAATCGAGGGCATGGGTGTTCATTATTGCTGTCATCAGTGAGCAGCCGAGTTTCTAGCCAGGACTGAGGACAATAAAGAACGTGAAGTGAGGACCCGGATGGACAGAGCACCACTAGCGGCGATCAAGGCTAACCGTATCGCGTAACATCCCATCATCGATCGCAATCATCGACCGCTGGCCATCGACTATCGACCGCTGACCATCGATCATGGATCATCGATCATCGATTTCAATCGACCATCTCGATGTGTGCCCGCCAAAACCTCGCCATGAGAGGACACGGGCCGGAACGACGGCTGACTCAAACGATAGCTTCTGAAGCACGCCTTGGCTGATCATGCGACACGGCGACGGCGTCCTCCAGGAAGACATCGGGATACCACCAAGAAATGCGGTCTGCATCTAACAAATTACGCAACACGAGATCCTTGACTGCGCCGCCACCTTCATGACACATTACATAAGAGTGGGAGACAGCGTCTTCAGTGAACTGGTGGCTGAAACAACTGACCGAGGGGAGCGCGAACAGATAACAGCTATCATTCGTTGCGCTTGCCGGGAGGACGGACTGTGGGGCTATTCACGAGGATTCTGTTAGCATCGTGAATCTGCTCAAAGAGGTTGGCACTGCCTGCTCCAAATAAGACGACACCGACGACGACGACAACGGGGCGGGAGGAGGAGAGGAAGAGGAGGACAATGCGCACAAGAGAAAGATGATTCGAGTCAACATCGGCAGTGCCATTCGGCAAGGAGTAGCAGACCTCGGACAGATAACGGAACAGAGAGGATGATCGGTTGCGGGTTTGACGGAATCCAGCAATGGCCGGTGGGAAAGAGGGAGCAGTAGCTGTGGTCAAACGCGACAACGATCTTTACGAGTGTTTTTACTGGGCGATGCATGCGTTTAATTTGTGACTCAGGAGCAGACGCAAGCAGCAAGGCATTCGATATTGTCTTGCCATCGCGAGAGACATAGCCACCTTTTCATTCACGGAAAGCCCACCAGATCCCTGAAGAAGGTTATTAAGAAGGTGGCGCTGAGAGAAAGTCGGAAAAGGGCTGATGACTACGCACTACGCACTTTTTTGAGCGCCACAAGACAGTGACGCCCATATGCCAGCTGCTGCCGGCGCTGGCCCGCTAGCAGACAAAGATAACCACGAGATTCTCTTCAGAAGCGCAGAAGAATGCCAGGGGGACGCGCAATCGCAATGATCAGAATGTGCACAACCGCCTCCTCAGCATTTCTGATAGCACCGCATGTGCTTGAAGCCATGACCTCCGTGGTACAACAGAGACATTGGAGCGCCCTGAGCTCCTCCGAGCGTTCGCCGCCCTGCCGGTGTCGACGGCCGAGAGGGATGCCTGTTCAGCCGCGCCAACATTGCGGCGACCTCGATCACATCCACAATGATCACAGAGCGTCTGGAGGTCTTGTGCCTGCTGCGAGCCTACGCGCAGTCGCTCGGTAACAACGTAATTGCTGTTCTCCAGAAGTTCTGCTCCCGGTCTCAGAAACGGTATTTCGGTCTTTAACAACGGCACCGCAAAATGTTTGTTCTCAATTACTGTAACGTACGCATGAGATCTTTATTTATTTATCTATCCATCTATCTATCTATCCTTCTATCTGTCTATATATCTGTCTGTCTATGTATACACACATTCACGCATATATATATATGTATATATATATATATATATATATATATATATATATATATATATATACATATAAACATACATATATGCATATACATGTACATATATAATATCATCTTCGGATAGTGAGAAGCAGCATCTTCGGGTAGTAAGAAGCAAAAACTTTATGGCAAGGACCGCAGTCACTATCATTTAAGCAGTGATCAACGTTTTGATACATTGTGTATCATCATCATGACGACCTCAACGGTACAAGTTCTATCAAGTTACAATGAAATGTCAGACCATTTCACCAACATCGATA